CTCATTTCCTTTCCCATACTTTATTGTGATGATTTGAATGATTTTGATACAGTTTGAGAGAATCTGAGTACTTTTCCTCAGAGCTCCTTCCTTCTCTTCCTTCTCTCTCTCAGTCCTTCCAAAAATGCCAAATGAAACAAGTCAATATAATTCTGCTTAATCCTTATCCTAAATATTCAATAAACTGGGTCAGTTTGGCCTGTTTCCCTTTATCCTATTAAATCAAATAAATTAATATATATAATAAAAATAATTCCACATGTAAAAATAAATAATAATTGTGACCATAATGTAATAATATTTTAATAATAATATTATTTTAGAAAAGAGGATGTTACAAAATATATTATAGTAGTTATCTTTGAAAGTAGACACTAAAATGAGATATTCTCATTATATATCGTTATAGATTACTATTACTATTACTATTATTACTATATTATTATTATTATTATTATTATTATTATTATTATTATCTATAACAATTTATAAAGGAAATATATTCATTCAGTGTCCACTTTTTTAAAGACACCTATATCGCTATTTTATATTCAAAGAAAAATAACTTCTTCTAAAAACAAAAATAATTGCTCACTTTATTAAAAATAACTATTTTTTTTCAATACCCATTTCTTTTTTGGAGACATGTAGGGTCTTTCTCACTACTGGTTATTATTATTACTATTAATATTTTTAACTCTATATTAAAAATACTATTATAATGTTACTAATTCATGAATTCACGTATTATAATTAACAATATCCTAATTACTCAAGAATCCTAACTCGTAAAGACATTCCTATGAATTCAATTATCTATCAAATCATCAATTTATTAAATAATATAATAAACACATTCTCAATTCAATATAAAACCTAGTTGAATTGTTAATTACATCATTAGAACAAAAATAGAAAATCTTAAGAATTTAGGGATTACTCTCACTACCCATTAATCCCACACATGAATTAACTCATTTCCTTTCCCATAGCTTATTGTGATGATTTGAATGATTTGATGCAATTTGAGACAATCTGAGTACTTCTCAGAGCTCCTTCCTTCTCTTCCTTCTCTCTCTCAATCTTTGTTCTATTAAAAATACTATTATAATGTTACTAATTCATGAATTCACGTATTATAATTAACAATATCCCAATTACTCAAGAATCCTAACTCATAAAGACATTCCTATGAATTCAATTATCTATCAATCAATTTACCAAATAATATAATAAACACATTCTCAATTCAATATAAAACCTAGTTGAATTGTTAATTACATCATTAGAACAAAAATAGAAAATCTTAAGAATTTAGGGATTACTCTCACTACCCATTAATCCCACACATGAATTAACTCATTTCCTTTCCCATAGCTTATTGTGATGATTTGAATGATTTGATGCAATTTGAGACAATCTGAGTACTTCTCAGAGCTCCTTCCTTCTCTTCCTTCTCTCTCTCAATCTTTGTTCTATTAAAAATACTATTATAATGTTACTAATTCATGAATTCACGTATTATAATTAACAATATCCCAATTACTCAAGAATCCTAACTCATAAAGACATTCCTATGAATTCAATTATCTATCAATCAATTTACCAAATAATATAATAAACACATTCTCAATTCAATATAAAACCTAGTTGAATTGTTAATTACATCATTAGAACAAAAATAGAAAATCTTAAGAATTTAGGGATTACTCCCACTACCCATTAATCCCACACATGAATTAACTCATTTCCTTTCCCATAGCTTATTGTGATGATTTGAATGATTTGATGCAATTTGAGACAATCTGAGTACTTCTCAGAGCTCCTTCCTTCTCTTCCTTCTCTCTCTCAATCTTTGTTCTATTAAAAATACTATTATAATGTTACTAATTCATGAATTCACGTATTATAATTAACAATATCCCAATTACTCAAGAATCCTAACTCATAAAGACATTCCTATGAATTCAATTATCTATCAATCAATTTACCAAATAATATAATAAACACATTCTCAATTCAATATAAAACCTAGTTGAATTGTTAATTACATCATTAGAACAAAAATAGAAAATCTTAAGAATTTAGGGATTACTCCCACTACCCATTAATCCCACACATGAATTAACTCATTTCCTTTCCCATAGCTTATTGTGATGATTTGAATGATTTGATGCAATTTGAGACAATCTGAGTACTTCTCAGAGCTCCTTCCTTCTCTTCCTTCTCTCTCTCAATCTTTCCAGAAATGCCACATGAGACAAGTCAATATAATTAATAATTCTGCCTAATCCTTATCCTAAAAATTTAATAAACTGGGTCAGTTTAGCATGTTTCCTCTTATCCCATTAAATCAAATAAATTAATATAATAATAAAAATTTTCACATGTAAAAATAAATAATAATTCTCACCATAATGTAATATTTTAATAATATTATTATTTTAGAAAATAGGATGTTATAAAATACATTATAGAAGTATAATTATTTTTGAAAGTGGACACTAAAATGAGATATTCTCATTATATATCGTTAAAAATTATTATTATTATTATTATTACTATTATTATTATTATTATTATTATTATTATTATTATTATCTATAACAATATATAAAGGAAATATATTCATTCAGTGTTCACTTATTTTTTAAAGATACCTATATCGCTATTTTATATTCAAAGAAAAATAACTTCTTCTAAAAACAAAAATAATTGCTCACTTTATTAAAAATAACTATTTTTTTTCAATACCCATTTCTTTTTTGGAGACGTGTAGAGTCTTTCTCACTACTAGTTATTATTATTACTATTGATATTTTTAACTATATATTAAAAATACTATTATAATGTTATATGTATACATATGTACCATATATAAAGGAAATAGAAGATTGTGTTTTTAGTGTCCATTTATTTTAGACCATTTTACTCTTATAACTACTTCAAATTATTAAATCCCTAATCACGAATAACCTACTATCATTTAACTTCTATTATTTTTTAATTATAGGTACTTCTATATATATATACTTTTTTATTTTTAATTATATATTTTTTTTATTTTCTAAATAAGCATACAAGAACATCAAATCTCTTTCTCACTAATATAAAAAACTTACAATTTAAATGTCTTCATTTATTTAAAAGAAACTATATTATAATAGTTTTCTCTTAATCAATAACTATAGTATAATATAATACAAGTCACCTTTATGTTAGTTTTTTAAAATGAGAATGTAAAAAATTACAACAAAATATTTATATGCTAAAATAAAATAAATTTGTTATCTTATTTTGAATTATATATGAAATATTGATATTATATATTAAAAATTGTTTATTTTTTTTATAATTTATTTCATAATCGATTATTCAATCTTAAAGTATTATATTTTATTTTTATTTCATTTAGTGACTGATTTGTTTAGTCACCAATATAATATTTGTTTAATGGCTAATATATTGGATATATATATATATATATATATATATATAAAATTACAATTGTTGTTGATTTTGTAATTGATAAATTTTAATTTTTATTGGAAACTAATATATCAGTTGCTAAATAATTTAATAAAATTGTAGTGTAGTTTTATCCCACAATAAGACATGTTAATTATTAATATTTGATTCTTGAAATTTAATGTTTTGCATTTTAGACAAATAAATATACATAATTATTAATTATACGATTGTCTTCTGCAGATGGGAATTTCCTCAGGAGCTGAACCAGCAGGTGCAATTTATAGCTTAGTACATTGATATCTGTCTAATTTGAATTGGGAAAAAAAAATGATAGATGACTACTCATCCCTTCCGTATAGAAATGATCTTGTACTTCTAATGGACAAAAGAAGTATGATTTGATTTCCCTTTTGTTGCTTATAACATGAAGGTGACCTTATAAATGAAATCACTAGGCGTTAAATAAAGAGGAAATTCAACTTCTCTGGAGACAAGAAACATCGGTCACCGATATTGGAAAAAAGTGCAAAATTGGACTTGTTAAGCAATTATAAATTGAAGAATTAGTAATCATTTGATTAAAAGAAAATCAAGATAAATCATTTTGTTTCCTAAAATTCCAATCAAAAGTTTTGCCTATTCTCTTCATCCATCCATAAATAATGCTATATTGATTTCTTTTTTTAAATCAAATTAGTTCCACAATAAATTAGTTATTGCAAAGTAAAGTATGGAAATGTTAAAGAATTGAAAACACATTATGAAACTTGTTCCGGTGTAGAGGTCTGCCTCTAAAAAAACCCTAATTGCTATTGCTGTCCAGAATATATATTCAAAGAATGCAGCATAGTGTTTTTTAACATTATGTTTGAGTCTTAAACTTGTTTATATAGCACATGCGAATCCTGAAATTTTAAGGATCACTCAAAAAAACAAATTAAATTACTTTTGTGCTTAATTCGAGTATAAATGGAAACAATCTTGGGTGAATTAAATGCACCTTATTGAGAAGCCACCAAATCATACTCTTGTTGAAAATAAGTCACGAACTGGATCATCATCGTATATATAGCTCTTAATCCAATCCTCTAATGACTAATCCATTGGTAGCCAGAAGAAGGACCTATTAATTTCCGGGAGCGTACAAAACTAACTTCAATTTTAATCGCGTTTTGGATTTTAACAATGCGAAAAAAAATGTTAAATTGCATGCAATGCACGTAGGAATCAATGAGTTAAGCAATCGCCCATGCAGCACAGAAATCGGATCCAGAAAAAGGTGGAAATCTACACATCTTGGTTAATTTCCCGTAAAGAAAAAAACCTTAATTTCTGGAGCAGATAACAACGATAACAACAAAGAACAAGAAAAAAAAAA